CTGTAGTGATTAATACTATGATGACTCTCTACTTGTTCATACATATTTGAGCATCTGTAATAATTTCCCTGGGATTAATTCCTAAGAATAGAACTATTCTCAAAGTTTATGACCATTTTTAGTTTCTAAATATGTCTTGTCAAATTGCTCCAGAAAGGCATACCAATTTATTCCATAGTTTACTGTGCATACACATTTTTAAAAGAATAGTTGAGAGGTAGCAACCAGAAGAGATTGAAAAAAAAATTGTCATTTTCTATACAAAATTTAAAAGATTACCATTTCAATTAGATTTTTAATTGTCCAGAAAATAGTTTGAGGTAGGGTGACCAACTGTCCTGGTGTAGCCTGGACTGAGGAGTTTCCTGGGATGTGGGAGTTTTTAGTGCTGAAACGAGGACAGTCCCAGGATGACAGTTTATCATCTTAGTTCGAGATTAAAGAAATCAGCTTTTTTTGTCATGTTTTTTTCTAATATTTATAATATTTCTGGACTTTGGTGAAGAAGAAGAAGAATGCTCAGATATCTGAACATGCATTCCCGTTATTGCTTCTGGTGAACTAGAGCAATAGATAATTACATACTTTTTTTCATTTTAACATAATTTTAGATTTACAAAAGAGTTATAAGAATAGACAACGAATTCCTGAATACCCTTCCCAGATTTCCCATTTTACTACAGTTATTCTCTTTATCTCTTTCTCTATTTTTAATCTGTGCATATGTGTATTTATATATAACATAATTTTTTTGAGAGTAAGTTGCACATGGTGCTGCTTTAACCTTAAATACTTGAGTGTGTATTTTTTGCAAACAAGGATTTATCTTGCATAACCACAGTAAAATTATCTATGGCTACACACAAAAAACTCTTTTCCAGTCTCTAGACTTTATTGAGATTTTTGTTAATTTTCCTAATACTGTCCTTTATAGCAAAAGAAAATCCAGAATCATATACTGAATTTAGTTGTAATGTCTTCCTAATCTCCTTTAATCTGAAACAGTTCCCGAGTCTTTGTATCTCATGGCATTCATATTTCTAAAGAGTACAGACCAGTAATTTTGTAGAATTTCCTTCAGTTTGAGTCAGTCTGCTGTTTCTTTCGGATTTCTGGTTTTGGTAGGAATACCACCAAAGTGATCTAAGTGCATCATATCATGAAGCATATGCTGCTGATTAATTTCATAACTGGCAATGTTAATTTTGATTATTTGGTTAAGATACTGTCTACCAGGTTTCCTCACTATTTTGTCTTTTGTAACTTAAACTCTTATATTGTCTAATACACCATACTGCCAGGATCAGAAGTCAGCATTTAAAAGAAATCACTTGACATCATATCAAAAGTATTTCCAAATATTAATTGTAAGCATAACTTTAATAGTTATGGAAGTGCTTAACTGTTTTCTCAGGGCCAGACACCCATTCTTTTACTGTTTATTTTAAAAAGATAGTGCTGCTATAAACACATTTTTATATAAAGCTTATTATGTGTTTAGGGTTATTTTATAGGATGGATTCTCAAGGTAGCACTACCAAGACCAAGGGAATCTTTTTCGGGCAGTTGATATATTTTGTAAAAGTATTTTTCAAAAGAATTGTACCAATTAACACTACCATCATTATCACTGTTTTGTTTTGTTTTTTTAAAGAGTCTTTGAGGGTACACTTTGAGATTCATTATCTACTAATTTTAGCATCCTTGATGATTCTAGCCAGAATCAGTTATTACAATGACTATTGACAAATGGTGATTTTCTAATCATCATTCCTTCTGCATTTATTAGTTGGCTTTCTGCAGTAAGGAAAAGCTATCCCTTCCCTCATTTCTGTTTGTTTGAGTGTAGATTCATGGCTTATTTTATTCAATAAGCTTGAATCCTTACTATCACTACTTATTTCGATGCCCATATTGCTCCAGATTTGGCTAGTGGGAGTTTCTTCAAACTGACTTTTGTATCCTTTTGGCGTGTTACCTATCATTCTTTGAGGACTTCCTTACTTATTAGCATAATAAGATGATGCTCAAGGCTCATCTTGTTCTTTCTCCATCCCACCTCTGGAATCAGCCATTTTTCTGAGGAGCACTGGTCCCTTTTAGTGGAGATCATTATCACAGACTGGGATCTGGGCACTGGATGTGTTCCTTGCTACCAGAGAATCTTTGCTTCTAGGCTTTGTCAGATAATAAAGTTGGGTAATTTAAAAAACATTTAAGTGTGTGTGTGTGTGTGTGTATATTTATATATATATTTATATTTGTATTATGTCTATTTGTATATGCACGTATTATACACATACAGAGATACACTTACATTCATATTCATCCTGGTATATTTAAGTATCAGTATATATTAAAACTTAATGAGCTCACTGGGGCTCCTGGGTGGCTCAGTCGGTTAGGCATCTGCCTTTGACTCAGGTCATGATCCCAGGGTCCTGGGACAGAGCCCAGTGTGGGGCTCCCTGCTCAGTGTGGAGTCTAATTCTCCCTCTCCCTTTGCCCCTCCCCCACTCATGCTCACTCTCTCTCTCAAGTGAATAATAAAATCTTAAAAAAACAGAACACAAACTTAATGAGTTCACACTGCTACCTCCTGAAATTTCAGTCCAATGCCTCCAATTCCAGTATAACATCCTATTTCTTCCTCTTTCCATATTTCATATGAAACCTGGCTCCTATTTTCCGCAATATTATTCCACTTATTTCCTCAATCCTAGGATGTTCAGAGTGTTTCAGATTGCTAAACTCTGCAAAAAAGAATTTATTATTTGTTTAGATTTTTGTTGTTGTTTTTAACCTGAGCATATAGTCTGAATACTCTGATCCAAAGTTTCTTGATTAGTTCTTTTTTCCCCCCTTCTGTTTTATTCACTTAAAATAAAAGTATAATTTATTTTCTTCTGCTTATAGTCAATTTGGGTTTTCCTGTCCTTGTGGATTTTCTTTCTTCTCTTTTCTTGAGTATATGAAACACTGACAAGTTTCTAAAAATCAAACCTGTACGAAAAAGGTGTATTCAGAGAAATGTGATTTCTTTTCCCGCATTCTCTCTGTCCTTTCTACCTAGTTCTCTTCATTGTTCTGTAGGTAACCCATTTCATTAGCCTTGGATTTTTCCTTTTGCTCAAATAAATATGTAAATATGTATTTTCTTATTTCCCCTTTCTTACCAAAAAGGTATATTACTATAGAAACTCTTGTACTTTACTAATCATAGAATTTTAAAAGCTGAATCAAACCCTGTTGTATAGCCAAGATTATTCTTTCCTCAATTTTTTTCCTTTTAGACACTGGATCAGCAACAGCTCTTCACAGAGGAAGAACTGAAAGAATATGAAAATCTTATCTCTTTACAAGAAACTGAACTTAAGAAAAAGGCAGATGAACTTCAGAAACAAAAGGAAGAGCTACAGCGTCAGCATGATCAACTTGAGGCTCAGAAGCTGGAATATCATCAGGTGGTATTTATAAAATGATTGTGGCATTAAAAAGAATTTTAGGTGTTTTGGTAAAAGTGTGTGATTTTTGTAATATAATATTTCAATGTCCAATTAGCTATAGTATTTTAAAAACTGCTTTGTTGAATATTAATCTAAATTTTAGAGTCTGAATATCTCATTTTGGGAAACAATTTTCAATTAGTTTGTTGTGATTTGTCAAAGGTCATGAGAAAATAAAAGAATACTTACTTTTAAGACATTCTTTTTCAATGCACTAGGTTGTACAGCAGATGGAACAAAAAAAATTACAACAAGAATTTCCTCCATCAGGGCCTGGTGGAGAATTGAAGTTCCAGCCACGTATGTAACTTTATTTTTTTTGTTTAAGGAAATAAAAAAATTGAATAAATTGAAATCTATGTTTATTACAAATGTAATTTCAAATCATTAATATCTGTGGTATTTACTATATATTTGTGGAAATAGTGCAACTTGTACTACAAAAAAATGTAGTACAGAAAAACATACAGAAACAAGCCTTCTAAAATGTCTACGCATTAGCATATTTCAAAAGCTATATAATTTGATAGCTATATTTATGGTGAAATGATTTATTTCAACATTATTCACAATTCTTTCTAATCAGTTATTGACATTGTCAGAGAACATGGTTTCTTAACTGTAATCTATGATTAGCTAAACGTATTTTAAAAATGCTTTATATTTATATTTACATATATATATGTATATGGAGATTCAGAATAAAGGGAGATACCTTTTTTTTTCAAACAGACATTTAAAGTCCGAAGTCCACCAGAACTTGGAAGAAAATTGTTAAATCAACATCTGTGTCATCTTTTTACCACCCTTCCTTTTTTTCTGCTCAATAAATATTTTAAAGCATATATGGAATAAAGGAAGATACTTTTTAAATGAGAACACATCTTTTCAGGACACAGATATTTAAAGATTGAAGTCCACCACAACCAGGAAGAATATAAACTCAGTAACTGCTCTCACTTTCATACCTCTCTTCTTTTTAATTTGTTCTCCTTTAATGATTCAATTAAGTGGCCATAATTATGCCATAATTTAATGAAACTATCAGTAACTGTTTAAGTGAAAAAGTTCTGTATTGCTTTTAAAGTAAATTTATATTGTTGTCACTTACTCATAAAGATAGTCTTTTATAGGTGCTTATCAGCCCCTCTCTCGATAAAAGTCTCTTTGATGTTAATAATTCTTCTTCTGAGAAGATCACACTTTCCCCCAGTGTTTCCTGGTAACTTCTTCCTACTTCCAGAAACCTTACCTGCTAGAAATTCTTCTACTGAATAGCTTTTGCTACCATTTCAGGTCATTTTTTGGTTCATATTTCTGCTTCCTACTCTATTACTTAAGATCAGGTTCTGCTACAAAAAACCAGAAAAACCAAAGATAACAGTGTTTTAAACTAAATAGGAATTCTTCCCTCTTCCATAAAGGAAATCTGTAGGTAGGTGGTGTCCAGGTTCCTGCCTCTCTGTTCTGCTATCCTCAGTGCATGGTTTTTATCCTCAAGTTACCTCATTCTCACTGTCCAAGATTGCTTTTGGAGGCAGTGGGCAAGAGGAGAAAAAGGAAGTTCCCCCCCCAGTTGCATCAGCTTACTGGATTCAGTGTTCCTGGAGAACCACACAACATTTTAACTTATATCTCATTGGTCATGTAGCTGCTAGGGAAGCTGAGAAATCCACGTGGCATTGGGACCAGCTAAAAGTTAGGATCTTTAACTAAAGATGAAGGAGGTCGTGTTTGGTAGGCAACTTTCAGTTTTAACCCATACAGCTTTATTGGCTCCCTATATATCTGTGTACACTCTTCTGAAACATAGAAAACACTCACTTGCCCTGCCCCAAAAGGAAATCTCCCACATCCAATCCATTATTGCATGTAGCTCAAAGACAATGATACCCTTGTATAGTCCTCTCTGTCAGGTTAGGATGTGGCACCTAATGTTCTGGCCATCTAAAAACTAAAAACTAAAAACAGACGAAAAAACAAACTAAAAAACAAGGTGTCTGCCTCATGAGTACCAAATGCATAATGGTAGGTACAGGATAACTGCAATAAAATCAACCTTTCAGAAGAGGGGAAAATAGCAGTCACTGATCCATAACACTTAAAAGGTACTGCTTGGCAAAAATAGCAAGGTCTCTCTGCCCTGTCTATAAATATATTCCTTGGTTTTCATATCAGGCAACCCCTGATTCACTTTTGTGGGAGGAACTCCCTTGTCGAATGTCCTCAGGGGCCCTTGGCGCTGCCTTCTAGCAAGTTTTTATTGTCCATTAATTTTCAAGGACACATTTGCGTGGGCATTGGAAAGTGTGCTGGTCTTGGGGGCCGGACCCCATAACTTCCTGTTACGGTGGGTTTAGGGGCTTGGGAATTGTTTTAGATAGTTACAGGCTGTTGCAGGCCAGGTTTAGGGTTTGTTTTTGTTTTGTTTTTTGGCAAAAACTTCCCCTAAAAACTTAGTATGTTTTTGGTCTGTCTTTTTCAATTATTAACCATGAGTAACCACAAAGATCTTGTCAAGACACAGTTTTTAACAAAGAACATCATCTTTTACTTGCTGGCTTCTGTGCTCTCTCTCTCTCCCCTTGGGTCTTAAATGAATGGTACCTACTTGGGACCATTTTAAATTGTAGGCTTGGATGGGATGGCAAAAATCCCAGTCTGATCTCTTTCCTTAGGATGGCTCCCATTACTTGGCAGAAAATTCTTAAGAAAGGTTGAGGCAGAAAAAGGAAAGGCAGAAAAAAGGTTGAGGAAGCTTTAGCAGCTTCCTCAGAACCTTTACTTATAACTGTTTCAGTTTGGAGTAGTAGCTGACTTTTCCAATTTTTCAGGGCTCCAGATTTGGGACTTTGTCAATTTATTTTGTAGAGAGCCATTTCCTTGGCAAAGCTATATTCCTTTCCATCTGTGCAGTCTTGTTAACCTTAGCCTGAGTCCCATCTCTCCCTTATGACTTTGCTGAAAGAGGCTAGAAGCAGCCCACATGCTAACATTCTGAAGTTCTACCACTACTTCCTCTGATATCTTAACCTTAGTGGCATGAGGTCTCACTGCCCAAAGCCCTACTCCTCAACTAACCTAACTCCATATTTAAGGTCCTTTTACTAGCTGTACCTTACTTCTAGCTACCAAATTCTGTCTAGGTCAGGATTCCTGGTTGTAGATAATGGGATCTTCTTTAGCTGTTAAACAGAAGGGGCTTGATTAAGGGGTGCTTGATTAAGGGTAACTCACAGAATCTTTGGGAAGGCAGATGAAACAGAACTTAGGCTGAGCTTCATAGGAACTCCATCACAAGAGTGGGCTGCCAAAGAAGCTGCTGCTTTTGGAACAATCCAGAAGCTGCCTGCCGGATCAAGATGCCTCCTGCTGGATTAAGGAAGCTGAGAACAGTTGCCAGCTCCATAACTGTACCACCTCTGCCGTGCTTTGTGTTGGCAAAAGTGGACACCTCGTGTGCTGCCTCTCTCCCCATGTAACCTGGTTCTGAGCAAAAGTCTCAAGTGAGTGCATCTGATTGACTGGACTAATCATATCTGGAAACCTAGCTGCAAGGGAGGTTGGGAAATCCTAGTATTTAACTTTACTACCTCTGTAGTACAGGAAGGCATGTTTAAAGCTGTTGAGTGAGCCAATCTGTCGTAACATCTCATACTTTTACATTGTATCTCTTCACATTAATAATTTTTAAAACTCTTAGTCCTCATTTTATAAAATTTTTAAATAATCAGAGCATGCTCCAAAGATACCTTCGATTTTTTTTTTTCTTAAATCATGGATCCCAAAATTAAATGTAGCAATCTGGGAAAGTTCTGCTTACATACAGCTGTAAAAAAACACACACACACAAAAACAAACAAACAAACCACAAAAAAAATCACTCACTTGAGTAATGCTGTGTTTCCTTAGAGATGGAGAAGGATTCCTACCTCTATTGTTTAAATTGTAGGAAACATTAAAAAATTATCTGGCATATCCTTTTGTTGATGACTCTATCTGTGACAAGAAACTGTGATAAGACAGAGATTCACCCAGGGTAAACTTTTTTATCAAAGTTTTGTTTTGTTTCTTAAAGATTTATTTATTTTGAGAGAGTGAGAACGAGAGAGAGAGTACATGAGAGGGGGGAGGGTTAGAGGGAGAAACAGGCTCCTTGCTGAGCAGGAAGCCCGATGCCGGACTCGATCCCGGGACGCCAGGATCATGACCTGAGCCGACGCAGTCGCTTAACCAACTGAGCCACCCAGGCGCCCTGTTTTGTTTTGTTTTTAAGATTTTATTTATTTATTTGAGAGAGAGAATGAGAGCATGAGAGGGGGGAGGGTCAGAGGGAGAAGCAGACTCCCCGCTGAGCAGGGAGCCCGATGTGGGACTCAATCCTGGGACTCCAGGATCATGACCTGAGCTGAAGGCAGTTGCTTAATCAACTGAGCCACCCAGGCGTCCCGAGGGCAAACTTTTTTAGATGGTGGACTGGGGTTCAATCAGAAAGGAATTGGAGACAATAATATTGTACTATGATTATGTAATATGATAAATATGGATACAGGGTAGTCATGAGAATATATAAATGTATCAAAGTAACATGTTGTACCTCTTACATTTACATGATGTTATATGTCAAATATATTCAGTTAAAAATATAATTGGAGGAGAATTTAGAGACATTTCTTCAAATGATCTTTTGGCATGAGTAATAATGGGTGGATATTACTGTAGACATACCTCACAGTTTCCAGCAAATTATCGTAATTTATATTATTAAAAAAAGAATTGGGGGCGCCTGGGTGGCTCAGATGGTTAAGTGTCTGCCTTGGGCTAAGGTCTTGATCTCCCGGTCCTGGGATCAAGCCTTGCATGTCAGGTTCCCTGCTCAGCAGGGGAGTCTGCTCTCCCTCACTCTGCCCCTCCCCCCTGCTTGTGTGCTCTCTTCTCTCTCTCTCTCAAATGAATAATTAAAAATCTTCAAAATAAAAGAATTGTTAGCCCAAGATTATCTATGGACTTAAGGAATTCCAGTTCTTAAGAGTATTGGGCATTTATGAGCAACTAATTTTTCTTACAGAGTTGCTAATAGTATTCTTTACAGCTCTCTTAGAAAGTATTGGTCCTGTGCTTAATTTATACCATTCTTCTTTTTTTAAAATTTTTTAAAAATTTATTTATTTATTTTAGAGAGAGAGAGAGAGAGAGCACACGAGTGTAAGGAGAGGGAGCGGGAGAGAATCTCAGACTCCCCACTGAGCATAACCCATCATGGGGTTCCATCTCAGGACCCTGAGATCATGACCTGAGCCAAAATCAAGAGTCCGACGCTTAACCAACTGAGCCACCCAGGACCCCTATACCATTCTTCTTAATACTTTTTAGGTATTCAGTAGTCTTTGATTTAGGTGACTTAGTGGTATGTATTAGTAATTTGGGGTTTTGTTTCATATATGAATTTTCATAAAGCATATAAATTTTATAGTATACTTAGGTATATATAATTAAAATTAGATTTTGGAAGATGATAGTCCTCTAGAATATTTGACTCTTGCTAAGAGAAACTGTAGTTTAGAAGTAGTGGTAAAAAACTTCTTTGAGATATGGCTCTACATTTTTTTTTAACCAAAATGTGTTTACAACAGCATTATTTTCTATGCTAATTGAACATATTTGTATTATCAAAGCCTAAATGCACATCTGTTTTTCACAGAAAGAAAAATACAAAGAAAATTTTACAGTTTTGTGAGAATGTGGTGAGAAATCTATTTTCTTTAGGAAGAAAATTTGACAAGCCTAGTTCTGGTTAGTGCCTAAAATTTGATCTTTGTTTTATAACTGTGCAGTACAATGAAGAAGAAGTTGAAACAGAGCCAGAGTTAGATGATGAACTTCATCGTTGTCATGTGAGATTTTTATCATTTGATGAACCTGCTAAAGAAGTCACTTTCACCCTTAACCACTGGTGCCTCAACTTAATACTTTAGTTCTTTTTTTTTTTAACTGAGAGACTAAGGTGTACTGAGTAAAGTGAAAAGTGTGCTTTTTTGTTCCCTGTGGGTGAAAGAATGAAAGACTGTAATGACAACTTGCTTTCAAGGTATGAGATTGGAGGGAAATCTGGTCTTTTCCTTGCCTTTTTTTTTTTTTTAACACAATATCATTATCAGTATTCCAATTTTCCCTTACTCACATTTAATTTATTTTTTAAATGAGTACTTAGCTATGGAGTAATACCCATTTCTTAGACAATCCAAGAACTGAGCCAGAACAAGCAGCAGCAGCAAGTGGTAAAGGCACCAAATTGAAAAATTTGAATTTATGATTACTAGCACTGCCAACCTCTTTATTGAGAAAAAGCAAAGCAAAACCAATAAAACCTTTGATTTAATTTTAGGTATTTAGATTTTCCCCCAATATTACCTCTAGAATTATATAGAAAAAGCCCCCTACATTTCATGTTTATAGATATCTGCAGTTTTTCTTGCAGAGCTTTTAGTTTACATTTTAATTGGCATTAGTCGTACTCTTGGTGAATGCCATGTACCAGCTTGGTTGTTAGTCAGCCCTTGACAGTGTATTTTTCCCTAAAAGCTTACCCTTCCATTTAACTTCAGAGCTGTGCATGCCTTTAAACAAATTTGGTTTTGTTTATAATTTATTGCAAGCAATAGATTTGACTTTTGCTGTGCAAATTTCCTTATCTCTTTTTGTTTTATCCTTGGTAATATTTTCTAAGATTTCCAAGATTATGAATATAGATCTTGTAACTAAAATGTTAAAATATTTTATTTTACAATTCTTTTAATTTTGCTGCTCCATGGAATTTAAAAATGGGTAAGGATTTATTTCCACATGATTTTAAAGCTATAACTTGTCTGAGTGCTTTAAAAGTGAGAGAGAAGAAATAAGATTCCATCTAGTTCTCTTTGCCTTCTTCCATGAATCATTGTGTTAAAATGTTATTTTTGTTCAATTTTAGTCCACCTTAAATGTAGATTTTTAGTGATAGGAGAATATGTGTCATTTAACTAAATCCCTGCTCTCATTTTCGATTCCTTATGTGTGGAGTATGAAACCCATGTACAGCCTGTGCCATACTCTGTATTTGTTTTGTACAATGTTGTTTTACCTACTTTACTGTTCACTCTTACCCTTTAATGTGTCTATCTGTCACTATTACCCTCAAAGTGATTTGAGTTTGCTTTACTTTTGAATTCTTCCCTTTCTGTTCTTGGCATTGCTTCTTTGTAAATATTTCCTTATTAGTGTGATGATGTCTTATAGATTTTTTCCTTTTTTAGAAAACATTTGCCATGCCTCTTAGTGTTTAAACATTTTTGTGGTAGTATTGAAGCATTTTTGTCAAACACAACAATCATCTTCTTGTTCTATAGCATTGAGCAATGGATGTTATAGTTTGTATCTTAATTTTTTTTCTGATTAACTCTCAGTTCTAATCCCATATACATTTCTTATTTCCTTTGATGTGTATGTATTTCCTCTCCCTTTGATATTTATAGCATGTTTCATTGAGATTCATGATTGATATTGGGAAAAAGAAAAACCACCTTTGCAGAAAGAGCTATTTCAGCAAGCAGGCAGTCATTTCTAGAGGGGTGTCCTAGAGCTCCTTAGGCAAGCCACAGTCATTCCTGGAGGGGTTCCTGACCACTGTGGAGAGTAACTCTAACCCTAAACAAAATTTCTGACTCATATGAGTAGGGTTCCTGACTCCTCTTCCACAGAGTGAACCAGCTTATGGAGCAAATGCATAGCATTCAGACTCTGATCAATGTCCCTTGTCCAATTCTTTAGCTTTTTTGTACCCTCCTTAAGTAATAATAGTTTAAAAAATATTTTGTGCATTCCAGCAGACATTTTCTGTCTTATGGTTCTTAATAAAGGAAAAAAAAGTATTTTTTGTAATAGAAAGACCAGGACATGAATTTTGCAATCTCTGATTAGAAGTAGCATAGTTTTTTGTATGTGTTATTTTTGCCTGGATGATCTGAGTTGTTTTTTGTTTTTGTTTTTTAAGACTTATTTATTTATTTTAGGGGGAGAGGGGCATAGAGAGAGAATCCCCAAGTACATTCCCTGCTGAGCACTGAGCCGAGGCGGGCTCCATTCCACAGTCCTGAGACCACAACCCACTAGACCAGATCCGGAAACCCAGAGTTGGATGCTCAACAGACTGAGCCACCCAGGTGCCCTGATCTTAGCTTTAATTAAGTTATTTTCTCTCTATGAACTCTCCCCTTTTCTACTTTTTGTATTGACTTTCCCACTGCTGTGTTTCTAATGCACCTCCTGAGTCAGTGGAGAAAGCTTTGAGTGACGTAGAGAGTTATTAGCACCACTGTCAGCTCTCTTAAAGTTTCACTGTCGCCCCTGCCGCCAGCTTTTGGGGTTTATTATCAGGCCTTTCTAATGAATTCTGCCCTTCCCTCACAATCCTAAACTATTCATCTTTTCTTCAAGGGAGTCTGTTGTATTACCACTAAGGAAGATGTAG